AGGTCTCTTTATGTTTGTAAATGGCTGTGGTTGAATGTAGCACAACTTACATAGGATCAGCAAATCCCATGAGATAGAATGTCCTCTCCCTATCGCTTGATGATTGGGAGCGGATGAAAACTAGACCGCCGTTTGGTATCACTCTGTACATGTCCTAAGTTTATATGGTCCCATTTTGACTCTCTCAGACCTCGTGCTCCTGCATTTATTATAAAAATGTAAATCGGTTCCATACTTCCTCTTCAGTGATAAAACAGCAATCTTCATAAAGGCAAAGCCTGCTGCCCATAAAAGTGGGAAATCTAGGATGACAGAAGATCCATTGCATTGACAGCTTGATAATTTGCAACTTTGTCTCCTAAGAGGGAGAGAGGTTCGCAAATTTGCCAGACTTTGGCAGAAAAAAAGGGCATTTTAAGTAACAACAGAAGCCACACTTGCTATCTACAATAGCACCAAAATTGGTCCTATTACATCAGCTGCCAATTTTACAGTTTAGTTCACATTCTGACTTCCTTAAGACGACATCTTTTTACCTCATAGCACCTTAAACTTATGATCCCAGAACCCTGGTTCCTATTCACGATTTTGTAAAGTGAGGTGCGATGTTATCGTCCGGCATGAAAGAGCCGGATCGGTTAATCTTGTCACCATTTCCTTGTCCTTTGATTGGCTACTGAAAACAACCAATAACAGCTTGGCTCAGTCGCAAGTCAAGAACCAGCGGTAAAACCGAGGTTATTCATAGCTGTTTCTCATACCATTCACGTTGGCGAATTCTCGTTTGACTTGGCCAGAACTGTGATTTGGAACATGTTTATGGAATAAATTAACATTTTCAAACTATGGACACATTCTACCACACTGCGGAAGGGGTCGTTAATACTGCCCAACAAAATTTGAACGGCGGTGTTTTTACATTTGTTCTAGAGCAGCTAACAGACTCGCCCGAGTTCCTCCACAATTTGCATTTACAACCGTTTTCTGCACATTTTTTCAAAGTAATAAGCTCTGGTGGATTTTTGACGGGGATATTTTTTGGCTTCCTCTGGTGCATTGGCCTTTTAGCTGGTTTTATTCATATATGGTGGCTGAGGCGTCGCAACAAAACCGGTATGATAGCGCTACATGGAGTAAAAGCGCAAACCTCTGCCAATGTATGCAAAAAAGATGGAGCAAACTCCCCTAAAAAGTCGAATTTATTCCTCCGGAGCCGCCAAATGCAATCAAATTGGGTCTGTATCGCATCTCAATGTGTTACATTCACAACACTGATAGCTCTTCTTTTCCTATTATGCATTCTTGGTTTCGTCACAAGTTACTCACTTCATACATCCCTAATTTTTAAAGCAACTCCTTCACAATCCTTGCAGAACCCAAAATTTATGTTCAGCAACAGTGGCTTCTTTCCTGGCATAGCATCGGCTCTTCAAAGTGCACGGATGTATATTACAGAATTTCTTCATGAAGTTCGGATTTCAACAAAACCAGCTGTCGACAATCTTATAAAAGCGACTGTTGAAATGCAAAACAGAACTACACAGGATTTTACAGCTCTTCTGTTCAATATGCTCGGCATTGACAGAGCGTTTGACCTTGGAGACAAGCTAGGAACTCACACTGTCAGTTTGCTCAATTTAGTTACTCCACTGAAACGCCATTTGATCGAATACACGGATACTATTTCCTCACTCAGCATGGCTATTGCCAGATGGAATGGGTACATGGAACAGCTCCATGTGGAAAAAAATGCGACTGTTACGAAATCATGCGAAGCAAATGCAGAATGCGATTTGCCCACACTCGCATTGGCAGATGTGACAGTTAGCTCGAATTGGCGTCTTTCCCAATTCGATTTTGTGATTGCTCTTAACTTTGTGACAGACGCACAAAATCGAACTCCTGAGGTGATAGAGGAACAAATGAAGTCTGCCCGCCTTTTGGCTGCACGTCAGCTAAAAAACACGATGGAAAGGATGCGTGTGGAAATTGATGTACCTGGTTCTTTGCGAAACTTAACCGAACAAAGTTGGATAAAGATTGCGGAGAATTTGAACGGTGCAATTGGACAAATAGACAATATTACTGACACTATTCCTAAGAAATTCCATGCCATGGTTGCTGTTGGATCAAATTACCTGTTTGCTGCATGTTGTCTGATTTGGATTATCATGGTATCTATTGCACTTGGAACATCAGTGCTTCTTTTCCATTTTCACTGTGTCAATGCTGCAATTAAACCTCAAAACAGACGAAAAATCCGTTGTGTTACATCTTTTGTTCTCCTGATGCTTATTTTCTGCATTTTTGCCTCTTGCAGCCTCTTCCTTGTTTCCGGATACGCACATACAGAATTTTGCCGATATATTAGTCCTGATCGTGCAGTTATGGAGACATCAGTTGGAGGATTGCGAGGTCCTCGAACCTCTTTTGTTTTGGATACTCATGTGAACGCCTTTCTAGATCGAAATTGGGCCAACATTGTTAAAATGGTAAGGGAAATGAATAGCCAAAGAGAAGGACTTGAAATACCCATTCCAAAGATAAGAAGCCCTCTTTATGCCCTAAATGTGGCCTGCAAAGAAAACGCCGGAATATTGGATGCTTTTGGAGCACTGGAAGACTTCAATTTTTCTGTATTCAACAAACCAGAAATCACAAACAAATTTGTCGACAAAGGAAGGAGCATAATGCGGGATACCCTGCTAGAACTCAATGCAACTGAGATGTTCCCACCAGCTCTGACAGAATCTGTCCAACTGGCATCCCGTCTGGATGACTTCCTTATTCCCTTTGATAAGGTGAGACGAGAGCTGCCAAGGGACTTTTTAAACGTCACTTCACAAAACAAAACGATGCTCATGTCGGGATCAGAGTTGGCTCACTTGTGGCGGGAATATTATGCATTTCTTAATAAAAGCAACTTGTCCTCCGAAACTCTTACTCGAGCCGATGAACTGGCAAGCATTGTTTTCAATCTTTCCTCCGGAATCAAAATTTTACTCGAGTCTGTGGATGAGAGCCTTCAAAGGTTGGGAAAGTTACAGAAAATTGGTTCAACTGTGCTAGAACTTCAGAGGATATTTGAAAGTCTGATTAATCAACTCAGAAATAGGGAGGAACTGGTGAAGAAAGCTATGAATTTGTACGATTCTCACGTTGCAAGAGACTTGCCAAAGAAGGTCGAGGCCATAATATCTCAATATGGTCCACCACTAATACGAGAAGTTGGGCACTGCAGAAAGCTGCACGATGCTTATGCAGTAGGTGTCTCGGCAATCTGTGATCTTGTAGTTGAACCCCTAAATGGTGTGTGGTTCTTCTCTGGCCTCTGTGTCCTCCTCTCAACCATGCTGATTTCTTTTGGATCATTCCTTCTGCTACACAAAATTCGCTCCTTTTCGCACGTCACGATTGGCGGTAGTGAACCTCTGCGTATCACCACCCACGATCAAGAGTCCATAAAACCTGGTCAAGTTCGTTCCTCTGTAAACGGAGTAAGGGTTGTTCAGCCTCCCGGAATTCATGCACTCATTCGAGGACGAGAGGCTGGACCAGCATAATCGCCATCACACGTGTAGCGTGAAATATGGCTCCTATGACTGTAACCTACTGCTACCGGTCTTTCTCCTTCCCCCTCTTTACGCATCTTTCTGCACATCCTGTTACAGTCTTGTACAGATCCACAGTGTCTCACTCCGGTGCTCTACTCCTCTGACCTCTTATCACGATGAGGACATCAACTAGTTGGCGATCAGACTGCTGATCTCTTCCCTGATTGTGTATCGTGTGACCAACGCGGCTTTGTAATGCGTGTGACCTCGCGTTGTGTTCTGGCACAAGTTACATTCGACCCTATAAACACATGTGAACAGATGAACCAGGCTGATTAAGCCTTCTACACATGCTGTCGTTATTGTCTCCTCTCTCTCCGTCCACCCATCTATCCATCCATACATTTCCACTTCACGAACATACTTTGTTAACTCTACATGTATTTCACATGCCAGAATGCCTTTTGTTGCAACGAAAATTAAAAAAAACGATTTTCTAATCTTAACAACTGTGTCTTGCTCTAATATGTGGATTATTACGAACGCGTCAATGAAGTCGCGCACCCGCAGGGACCGCAAGTGGTAAGGACCGTCCACCTTTTACTATCCATACTACTATTTGAAATAATAAACAACACCTCCACGTTGTAGGCCTAACTTTTAAATGTATTTGCACTTGTCGAATGCAAGTTTATGTTCGTTTCTTTCGGGAGTCATCGCCGCTAAAAATTTGATCCACATTTTAACCACTCCTTTCAACAGCTGAGTTAATGTCTCCGGCCTGCAACTTGAAGGTGATGGATCTGTAGTGAACTTTAACCATCCAAAGGGGTTTTGACATAGTGTTTCTTTGGCGTTGATTACAAAAATAACGCCCTTTTACCCTTTAACAAAAATGTGGTCGCATATCCTGCAAACGTGCACGTTGAAAGACGCTGCCCCCTTGTTTTGCCTTGCAATTACAATTCAATGCCTATCCATTCAAATTAATCGGCCACCTATTGTTCAAGTCGCTCGACCTTCTACCTTGTGGTGTCAAACGATCATTGATAGGACCGTTTTACTGTGTGCTAAAATGAATTCTGTCTGCACAGTGGATTCGTAGCATAGTCTCGGAAATAATTCTTTATACTGCTTCTACACTTCTAATAACGTATTGTAATGCTTGTTCACGCAAACCTTCCACCTGTATTTTATTGCGATGGCACATTCGATGCACTATCCTCCAGTTCCAGTTAAGCATGACACGAACCACGCGTTGCCTGGCTTTGTCCCCATCATCTAAACCACTTGGGCAGCTGGCATCAAGTGCGCTTGTTGGCCAGCCTTTTCTGACCTATCCAATTAAAGCTAACGCATCTGGAGGTAAGGTAGGTCTAAGCTAGACTTAAGCTGAGCGATTACATCAAACTTTAAATGCCATTCATTCTACGCTTCATCGCTAATGTCGACAACTAGTCTTTGTGCAATGCCGATGCCGTAGCATTTCTCGAACATTTGGCAGATTGATTGACAGTACGTTAAATCTCAAAACCACCTTACGTTAACTGTTTTGGAATGATTTAACTTGATTTTTACAAGTACTACTAATGTCCGTTATTGTGGTAAAAAAGCCACCAGAATTTTCCTAATTAGGCTCCTATTACACTCGATCAGCCGCCTAGTTTATGCTCTTCTTTCATGCTGTTTCAAATAGGTGTGACCGGAGAAAGGATGAGGCAGTTACTAAAGACTGCCATTTGAAGGGAGGTAGAAGTAGTCATGTTGGTTACAAACCGTTGTTTCGGCACAGTAAAAATTGTTACAGCGATGTCCTGACCATTAAGGTTTAATAGGCAGGCGTGAATTTTACAATTAGGGCGTTAACCATGCCTGTGGGCATTGGCGATACAATCGGCAGGGTCTTTCGCTGTTATAATACGAATGTTCGTGACAAGCAGCCATTTACAACGTTTCAATCGCAGTACTTTGCTCATTGCTCTGGTTTTGTTTGCCAAAATCTCCGTGAACTGCCCCTGGAGCATACACTCTGCATCGGGGCAAGTATCAATTTCAGCCTTATGATGGTCTGGTTAATCCATTTGGATTGTCATAGCCACATGTTACCTCTTTCAGTTCTCAAGGCATCACTGTGACCGTCGGTAGCGCAGTCCTTCCATTGCTTTTGCTCTGTGCTATCAATGTCATGGACTTTTAATCTTTCAACAAGTTCCGCTTACTCCTTGATTGAAAGTCCTGTGCTCTCTGTATGCTCATTACATCAAATATAATTCAACGCCTTCATGAAGTTTTCACTTTTGATCTGACACTCCATTAGCTATAATTCCAGGATACTTCAGTGACTGAAAAAATCTTGAGGAAGTGCATGAACGCTTTGAGATTCGGTGTACAGCTCGTGGAGTTCAGCAACTACTCGAGTAAGTTACTGGTTCAGCAATAAATTAGCTACAATTTTTACTTCTTTCCATCTTACTTAAATGGGAAAAATCGTAGAACATTTTAATGAAACCTTAAAACTCTAAGGCAGGTGAACGAGCTCTGTCCTGTATGTCGGTGAAAAAGTAGACCAACAATAGTGTACATCTCCTTGCAACCCTTGTAAATAACCAGAGACATGATGCACTATTCCACCAAATGCGCATAACAGATCTGCAACAAAAGCTCTTGCTGCTCACACCTTGTGTGGCGAGAGTTAAGTGAACAATTTCCTGTAGGGATAGAAACTTAAAGAGGGTGAAAGGCCGGAAGAAATGGGTCCAAAAGTGTGATTATGTGCAACATTAGCTGGGCAGGCAATTGGAAGCATTTACATTTGACCCACTGATTTCAAAATTCTCTGTCGTCCTGTCGTCTAACTCGTGTTGTTCGACTCGGAGACCAGTCTGTCACAAACTGCTGCTAAAGATCTTGGTTCTCACTTTGTTCCTCTGTGCTGACGTCTCACTCGCTGCTTCAAACAGCCACTTCGGGCGACCTTATTTTGGCAGCATTGCGTGTAGGCATTTGCTAATGACAGAGGTAACATTAAAGAATCCGTTTGCGCACGTTTGAGACATTGCAAGACCGTCATGGAGGATTTGGGGCCGTTGTAATTGTTGGCGTTTAATAAATGAACAGAGCCTCCTGTCAGTGGTTTGATGTATATAGAGCTGCCTCCATATTTTCGATTAGCTTCAAACAGAACTTCACAGTAGCTAGCAGCATAGGGATTGGCATCAGGATGATGGCACTTGTTATCAGAAGAGTTAAGGCGTGTGTGTCATCTCGCAGGAGCAGGATCGGATCGGGTGAACAAGTAGTGATAGCATTAGATCAACTGGTGGGTTAGAGGGTCTCTAGAATTGCCCAGTCGGATGTGACTGGTGGCGTCAACCATCCACTCGACCGTGATGATGCGGTAATTGTAGCATCGCCATCAAACAATAATTACTCAAATATTTAATGAATAAAGCTGGCTTACGGAAGAGTTTTAAGAGATTCCAATCCGATTCTATGGCTTTCGATTTTCCCTAGGTAGTCTCAAAAAGTCTTTTATCTTCTAGTTCCACTCAATAATAGCAATAAGAGCTATAACCATCCTTATTACTCCCTTTAGGCTCAAGTTTGCCGTATTTGCTTTAATAAGCTAGTATGTTTCAAATTGTTAGTTACCATGCCCTGAATGAAGTTGGGAATCAAACGACCATCACGCTACCTCATAATGAGAGGAGTCGTACATATCTTGACGTTGTTTATACTACTGAAACTTATTTTTATGGGTACAAGTTTTGTGCTTTGGGTTTGTGTTAAATAAGGATGATTGCAGGTCTGATCCTGCCCTGTTTCTCACTTCCTCTTAAATATTGCAATGCCGACGACTACCTTTGCCTTGTGTCGTGGGAAGGGTGGTCGTTGGATTCAACCATTCGAGTGTTTAATAATTTCACATTGAAATGGAAAATGAAAAAAAGTCAACTTGTTTGTGGTTCCACCACCAACAGTGACAACCGCTTTATACATGTTTGCAGATGTTAGATTCGATTAGTTGACGGTGTTCCGATGAAGGTGCCATTTTCCCTTCTTTCCAAGGCGAGGTGGTGCGGCTCATGGTCTCCGCATTAAGATTATCAACTTAATTTTGTGAACAATGGACAATTTTCGCAAATTAATGCTGTTTTCATGAGCAAATTCGCTACCATAGTAAATCACGGCTTGCTTATCCATTAGCTAGGCTACGATGCACCCCTTTTCAAAGCACCCGCAAACCCCTCGTCAGGCGGTAATTTACTACCACTGTCTGTCATCCAAAAAAGCCCTCCTTTGCCAATCATGAACTACTGCAGACCAACAAATCATTTGTCCTGCTCTGGTTCAATCCACCTAATTGCTTATATCTTATTAAAAATATTCACGCTCTGTTAGTCTCAGTGCAACTTGGCATTCCACTTTTGGTGCCTTTCCTTTCCACACTCATGCATTATATTGTTTCACCTGCAGTCAAAAGTCTAGGGAGGTTTTGTAGAGGTGAGACATTTGAAACAGAATCAAACATATCGCCTTCTTGGCGTCGTGACTAACAAGAATTGGCAATTTCGGCATTGATGCGGTGCTGTCTTGAAAATCCCTTTACTTGTACGCACCGCTGGATTAGCCGTGTCTTTGTTAATTTGAGGTCTGTACTTTTGAGCCTGATTTGGGTAAATGTGTTTTGACAAGTCGAAATCGAAAATGCTACAGTCCTACAAACGCGTTTATGTTAGACAACGATGTGTACATGCGATGATTTATAAGATTAACGCTCTCATTGGCATAAATCACCTTTCAATTTTAATATAAACATATTTTTGGGTCTGAGCATCAGAAAAGCAGTAGCTCATGTTTGCAAGAGGTTACTCCTGCTTTGTGGTAGAATAAAAAACGCCTGAATGATTTTAAGCAAACCCCATTGTGACCTCGTGCAACTTGCCTGGACAAGCATAGGGGGGAAGGCGCATGCAGTCAAGTCTCCTGAGCCCAACTGAACATCCCAC